GTGACTTGGGCTAATTATATCACCTCTCTGGGCCTCAGTTTCCTAATAAGTAAAATAGCGATGATAAGAGGATTGTTGTAAGAATGGAATGACACATAGCAAGGGTCAATGAGAACTATTATTACAGCTATTGTAATTATTAAGAAATAATAAGACAGGGCTGGATGTGGTGGCTCATGACTGTAATCCCAGCACTTTGGGAGGCTGAGGCAGGTGGATCACTGGAGCCAAGGAGTTTGAGAGCAGACTAAGCGACATAGTAAGACCCTACCTCTAAAAAAAAAAAAATAGAAAAATTAGCCAGGCATGTTGGCACGCACGTGTAGTCCCAGCTACTCAGGAGGCTGAGGTGGGAGGATGGCCTGAGCCTGGGAGGGTGAGGCTACAGTGAGCCATGATTGCACCACTGCACTCCAGCCTGGGCAACCAAGCAAGACCTTGTCTCAAAAAAAGAGAGAGAGATAGTGAGACAGAGTTTATGTGAAGACTTTCATGGGTGGGAGCATCAGCTGAGCTTTGAAGGATGAGAGGGCATTCATCACAGAGGTGAGCTGAGTGTTGGGGACCAGCCGGAGGGAGCCATGAACAAACACAATGTGGGGGACAGGAGAGGATGGCAAGAGGGTGGCAGTGGCTGAAGAGAAGGTATGTGAGGGACAGTCATGGGAGGTGAAACCAGGTCACCATGTGAAGGCTTTGAATGTCCAGACCCTGGGTGGTGATGAGCAAAGGAAGAAATCTAAGCAGGAAAATGACACAGAGAAACTTCCTACCAAGAATCCCTCTAATAATAGAGATTAATGCAGAGAAAACCTGAGGGTAGGGAGACCAGCGAGGAAACATTTTTGATGGTCTCATCCCAGGCCTGGGAGCACAGGTAGCTCTCATGGGCAGCCTAAGTGTCCCAGCTCCCAGAGAGGCAGCAAAACTGTGAAAAGATTATGCAGCTCCTGTCTCTGAAGTGGGCTGAAAAATACGTTGTGAACCTAAGTATACATCAACAGATGAAGGGATAAAGAAAGTTTGCATATACACACAATGGAATACTATTTGGCCACAAGAAAAGCATGAAGTTCTGTCATTTGTGGCAACATAGATGAGCATGATGTTAATTGAAACAAACCAGATACAGAAAGATAAATATTACTTGTTCTCACTCATATGTGGAAGCTTAAAAATGTGGATCTCATTGAAGTAGAGAGTAGAATTGTGTTTATCAGAGACTGGGAAGGGTAAGTGGGAAAGGAGAATACAGAGAAGCTGGTTAACAGATACAAAATCACAGCTAGATAGGGGGAGTAAGTTCTAGTGTTCCATAGCTTTGTAGGGTGACTGTAGTTAACAATCATTTATTGTGTATTTTCTTTTTTCTTTTTTTTTTTTTTTGAGACAGAGTCTTGCTCTATGGCTCAGGCTAGAGTGGAGTGGTGCGAACTCAGCTAACTGCAACCTCCGCCTTCCAGGTTCAAGTGATTCTCCTGCCTCAGCCTCCCAAGTAGCTGGGATTATAGCCACCATGCCTGGCTCAATTTTCATATTTAGTAGAGACAGGGTTTCACCATGTTGACCAGCTGGTCTCAAACTCCTGACCTCATGGTGATCCACCCGCCTTGGCCTCCCAAAGTGCTGGGATTACAGGGGTGAGCCACCCACACCCAGTCTATTGTGTCTTTTCGATTAGCTAGAAAGAGGACTTTGAATGTTTCCAACACAAAGAAATGATAAATGTTTGAGGTGATGGATATGCTAATTACCCTGATTTGATGGTTACACTTTCTATACGTGTATTGAACTATCACGTTGTACACCATAAATATGTGCAATTATTATTTGTGAATTAAAAATAATTTTTTAAAAGAAATGGATTATCAGCCAGAGTAGGATCCAATACCAGGCACAACCCTAACATTTGAAGGTCCCGGGGCAAGAAGGCAAATGAAGGCTACTGTGTCATGTCATTTGTCTGCATGCTTAAATGTTTTAATCAAGCTAATAAAAAGAATACATAAAAGATATCTAGCCTCATTTACAAGATAGCCCTTCATAATGACCTGAAAGGTCAGGTTTGAATTTATAATTCTCTGATTCCTCAGAACTCCATGCAGGAACATGGCATTCCGAGGGGAGCCTGCCCAGCCCGCAGCTCACCTCTCTTCTCACCCATCCCCAGCTCTGCACACAGACCCTGCAAACAAGAGCATCCCTTGATGCTTCTCCTGCCTAGGGGTTGGCACCCAGTGGGCCCAACCCTCCAAGGATGGACCTTGAGGAAAGGCCCCTGCAGCTCCTTGAAGCAGGCACAAGGTTTCTCTGGGCAGGCAATCCCAGGACCCAGCTATTCAAAGCATGGCCCAGAAAGGGAGGAGGGTAGGCAAAGGCTCCTCGTGGGCATATTCCCCTTGCCCCCAGCAACTCCTCACCGCATGAGGAGGGACTTAGCCAGAGGAGGCCCAGAGTCAGATCGAGATCAGAGGAGAGGCCCCTCTTTCCAGAGTCTAAGAGCGGAAATATTGAGCTGAGAGCAAATAGTCTTCCTGGACGATAGTGAACTCCTTCTGTCTGTCTCTATGCCATGCATCACGCTTTATCGAGCACTCTTGGTCCCTGGCCTCACTGCAGAGGACGCAGTTCAGGGGTGAACAGCTGTGTTGGTTAAATGGGGCCCAGACAAGAGGACTTGAGATAATGAAGCCTGGGAAGACACCCAGATCCTCTAGGTTCCCAATCAGGATTCTTAAATGTTCCCCACGAGTGAGTCTTCTCCCGGGCTGAAGTACCAGTTCAGACGAGTCAGGCTTCTGTCTCCCTCAGAGTCTAACACAGTTAGAAGGCACACAGCTCATATTTCATAAATCCTTGAATAAATCAATGAACAATAGCTGATGACATTTGTTGAGTGCTTACCTTTGCATTATTATGTCATTTCATCCTTACTGCAATCCTGAAACAGATTCTACTATTACTCTTATTTACAGAGGAGGAAGATAAAGTTCTGTGAGGTTTATATGCAGAGTCTGCCAGTAGAAAGTGGCAGAGCTGAGGTGAACATGAGTGAATGGATCGATGAAAGAATGGAAAAAATGAATAATGAACAAATTCATATATAAGTAAGCAAATCATGTGCTTTATCTTTTTTTAGTACTTAGACACCTTCTAACCCCTGGGGCTGGGCCTCCTGAGCACTAGAAAGCATCAGCTGGTTTCTCTAGAACCCCAAGGATTTGGGTTATATTCAGCCCCATCCACCCTCAGCCCATTCACTCTCAAAATGGACCAACTCTCCCAGCCTAAGGATTCTCCCACTCTCTAGGCATCTGCTATGCCTTTAAATCTCTCAGCTCCCACCATGTTCTCCCCACTCCACTCCTGACTCAATAGCCTCTCCTGCAGTTGGTAGATGGGGAATCATCTTCAAGACTGTAGTGATCACACCATCACTATGACCCAGCCCTACTGACTTCTCTTGACTACCTCTTCACCTCCCCTACCATCCCCCCACCCTCAATCCATTTGGGGTATCATTCCTTATGACTGACAGACACCAGAAATAAATTTGTGAGTTTTAATTAAATGTGGACCCTAAACAATCTGAAACAAAGTCATTTCTATCCATTATGTATATTTCTCTTCGTTTTTGGAGCTGTTGTGGACATCTGAGGAGTGGTCCAGCCAAGGATTCCATGAATTGTTACTGGTTGGATTGTTAAATAACGACTAGGGACACAGCACCGTTTACGATTTCGGCAGCGTATGATGCTGTCTTCACCATCTTTGCACAACAACCGGCAGTGTCCATCCATCCAACACTCTACTTTGGGGCATACGAACAACAATTAAGCAGATGTTAGTATCCCTCAAGTGGAGAGAAAAGAGAAGGCAGAGGAGGAACAGGAAGACAGGGAAGAAGAGAAGAAAGCCAGTTAAGTGAGTAATGCTAGGCCCAGTCCCAGGAAAAGAGAGAAGAGACCTTGAGAGGGAAGAGAACTGAGACAATGGTTCCAACTGAGAACTCTGAAGTTTTCGAGGGAGCCTTTTTTGGACTTCTCACCCTTCTGTCTTCCTATCCCCAACTTCCTATTCCTTACTTTGGAATCAGCTGAAGCTAATTAATGTCCCACCTAGCAGAGCTAGGAGTGAAGGTAAAAGGACATGAAAACCTGTAATATTAGGGAAAAGAGGATTCACTCACATTACACAGACCAGGTGTCTTATCAATAACCTGTCCCTGTTTAACATAAGCCAAACAAGCCTCAGCTCCAGCTGCAGCTCAATCTCCAATCTTCCTTGACCCTATATTAACCCAATTCAAACTCAAACTCATTCAGGCCTACCTTAATTAGAACTCCCAGCCTTACTCAACTCAATGCCCCTAAGCCCCAACTCCAGGTCAGACCCTAATCTAATCCAATCTAACCCTAATCTAATCAAGTCACTAACCTCAATTCCCAGCAGTATCCCATCACCAAGCTGAACCCAAACACCCTGCAGCATCCAGCACTGACTCCCAGCCTCAGCCCAAGCCCCAGTCTAATCCCTAACACCAGCTCCACTCAACCCCAAATCCCATCCTCTCTCCAACTCTGCCCTAAACCTTCAGGGAAGCCCAGCTCCTCACCTCCTGCTCATCCTGACATTCCTTCTATCACCCCAATCCCAAGGTTTTTCCTCCACATCACAACTCACCCCAACCTCCACTCTAGTCTCCCAAAGCCCTCAATAAGTCCCCAACTTGCACCCATGCTTTGCCCCTCAAACCTCTCCCAAGCTCCCACCAGGATACCACCCTGGCCCTCAAGTGCCAGATGCTCCAAACGTCTATCATCCCACCACTCTGGCAAAAAAGAATCAGAGAGAGATATTAACCTGAGATGATCCTGGGGAAACTTCCCAAAGTTGCAGGAGAGAAGGAAAGGCTTTACATGATGCCCACAGTGAGAGGGGAGGGAAAGATGGGAAGTCCATGACCAGGAGCCCAGACCCCTGAGAGAGGCTCACGTTACCTGATATCACTGGTACTTCTGTGGCCAGAAGGATGGCAAGAAACAAGAAAAGAAATTTCATGGCTGGCAGACCTGAGAGGAGGAGGCGCCTGAGCTGCAGGGGAAGGAAATAGGGTTCCCTGCAGCAGGGCAGAGATGAGCTTTGCTTTTATCAGCAGGACTGTGGGCAGTGAATTACAACAGGAGGGGATTTATATGAGGTCATCCAGGCCAAAGGACAGTGTGTAGCAGATGTCTCAGCAAAGCACAAGATGAGAGTGTGGGAAACTGGCCAGTACCAGTGCCAGTAAAGGGACAGACCAATTAAAGCCATTTGGCCTTTGAGAGCCACAAAGGAATTAATTAATACATAATAAATATATATCAAGAAATATTTAACTTAAAAATTACTTTACATTTCTCTGATAAATAGTAAGAACATTTATTCAACACTGGTCTTTTTATTTCTTCGTTTTGAATTATCAGTCAGATATCTGGACAATTCTATTGGGGTATTGTTGTATACTTGCTGATTTGCAAGAACTCTTCAGTGCTGTTATTATATCAACTGTCTTGTCATGCTTGGTGACAATATTGTTCTCCATGATTATGTTCTGTTTTAAAATATATTTTTTGCCTATAAATGTTTAAATCATATTTAAATCTTAAAAACTAAATAAACAGGCCGGGTGCGGTGGCTCACACCTGTAATCCCAGCACTTTGGGAGGCCAAGACGGGGAGATCACAAGGTCAGGAGTTCGAGACCAGCCCGGCCAACATGGTGAAATCCCATCTCTACTAAAAATATAAAAATTTGCTGGGCATGGTGACGGGTGCCTGTAATCCCAGCTACTAGGGAGGCTGAGGCAGGATAATTGCTTGAACCTGGGAGGCAGAGGTTGCAATGAGCTGAGATCGTACTATTGCACTATAGCCTGGGTGACAGAGTAAAACTCCACCTCGACAATACAAATAAAAAGTTTTTAAAAAATAAATTAAACAAGAATTACTTATTCTCTGCTTTCTAACAGAAGGATACACATGTGTAATGTCTTTCGGGACTCTGAACTTGCCAATCTTGTTTCCAGTTCAGGGCCTTAGCAGTTGTCATCTGCTCTCCCTGTAAAGCTCTTTCTCCAAATCTTCCCACGAAAATCTCCTGCTCGTCATTCCATATCATCCCAAATGTCACCTTCTTGGAGAGGCTTTCCCTGGTCACCTTAGATAACGATATTCCAACCCTCAGTCACTCTGGACTGTAATAACTTGGTTTATGATCTTCGTATATGTATCCATTCTTTCAAATTTTATTTTACATATTTGATCTTTGTCTCTCCACTTAGAATGTCAGAAACCTGGCTTATAACCCCAGTACCCATAACATCACCTGGTGTATTAAAATACTTATTCAACTGTTTTAACTGATATTCCCCCCAAACAAGAATGACTCCAAAAGACAGACATGGATTTCTTTTTTATGTAAAAGTCTGGGTATGCGGTTAAGTGTGACGGCTTCACCATTCAACAGGGAGCTAGGTTCCTTTTGGCTTGACGCTCTGCCATCCTCATGAAGAGGCTGCTTCGTGTGATGACCATGAGCTTCTCCAGTTCCCACCGTCAAGTTCCCATCCAGCCATCAGGAAAGGAGGAGCGATGGAAGTGAAATGCAACACCCTTCCTTTTAAGGACACCACTCAGAAGTTGCACCCTTCAGCTTGGCACCGTGGCTCACACCCGTAATCCCAGCACTTTGGGAGGCCAAGATCGATGGATCACTTGAGGTAGGATTTTGAGACCAGCCTGGCCAACCTGATGAAACCTGTCTCTACTAAAAATACAAAAAAAAAATAAATAAACTTAGCCAGGCGTGGTGGTGGGCGCCTATAATCCCAGCTACTCAGGAGCCTGAGGCAGGAGAATGTCTTGAATCCAGGAGGTGGAGGGTGCAGCGAGCTGAGATTGCACCATTGTACTCCAGCCTAGGCAACAGGGTGAGACACCGTCTCTCCAAAAAATAATAATAATAAGTTACACCCTTTGCTTCCAATTCTGGCCACCTCCCAGAGCTCATTCAGACCATCATGCCCAGCTGCAAGGGAGGCTGGAAATACTTTCTTTATTCTAGGCAACCATTTCTAGCTAAAATGTACGGGTTGTTTTACTAAGAAAGGAAAGAGATACACGGCGGGGGGGTGGAGTTCTAGCAATCTTGGACATACCTGGCATTAAATATTAAATAATATTTAATAAATCTCTGTAGGCAATAAATAATAAATATAACTCACTTTAATAAATATTATAGATAAGAAATAACTTATACATTGAATAAGTATATGTTATTCTATGAGAAGTGATCTAGTGGGAAGGCTATGAGAAGTGATCTAGTGGGAAGGCTATGGGAAGTGATCTAGTGGGAAGGCTATGAGAAGTGATCTAGTGGGAAGGCTATGAGAAGTGATCTAGTGGGAAGGCTATGAGAAGTGATCTAGTGGGAAGGCTATGAGAAGTGATCTAGTGGGAAGGCTATGAGAAGTGATCTAGTGGGAAGGAAACCCAAGTCCCTGTAACTCCAGGGCTTTGGGAAGCCGAGAGGGGAAACTGCTTGAGCCCAGGAGTTCCAGGCCAGCCTGGGCAACATATGTGACCTCCTCACTACAAAAAATTTTTTTTAATTAGCCAGGTGTGGTGGTACACACCTGTAGTCCTGCTACTCAGGGGGTCAAGATGGGAGGATCGATTAAGTCTTGGAGTTCAAGGCTGCAAAATGTTCAGTTGTTTTTCTGCCTCCCCCGCAGCTAGAATATGAACACGTGGGTAGGTTCAGCCAATCAGATGACTCCATCCTATTTTTTGAATCAGGTGCTCATGATTCCAGGAAGAAGGAACAGTAGAGAATTTATCTTAGCAAAGGAGCCCGTCATGATGTACAGTGTCCGGGGTCAATAGGGAAGCCGGGCAAATAGGGGTAGAGTTTAGGGTCCTGAGCAACAGTGTTTGGTGGCAGCTGTGTCCTCACTAGACTGGGTCCATGGGGTGATTTTTCACTCTGGCTCCTCCTACCCTTCCTCCCTGATTCCTACCCATTTTCTAAGCCTCGCTCTAGGAATTCTCTGAACTTCCAAACAGCCAAAAGATGCCCTTTGCTAAACACCCTTATGGATGCAGTGACCACGGGCAAGTTGTTCAACCAGTTTTGGAGATAATAATACTGGCTCATGGTTTGTTGTGACCTTTAAGTGATAAGTGCCTATCTGGAGTTCAAAACAGTGCCTGGCAGGTAGGAAGTGCCCAGTACATTTTAGTTACAATTTCTTTGTTTCCAGGTAAGGGAGGAGGGAATTTAGAGCCTTGAGCACTTCTGACCTCTACAGCCTCAGTGAAAACAAAGCCTAGTTTCTCTGCTGTGTAGGGGATTAGGTCTTGGAGAAAATGGGCAGGATCTTGAGAAGCCCCTGTCGGGCACGGAGGAGATACACTGGGCAGAGAGCTGTGAGGAGGACCTGTGATCAGGGCTGGATGGCCCAATAGGAGGACTGAGCACCTGCCCAGGCTCCGGGCACTGGCAAGGCATGGGCAAAATAAAAGACAGAAAATCTAAAGAACCCCCTTCAATTTCAGCAGATAGGAATGTTTTGTATCATTTCACAGAAGTAAAATTGTATTTCAGAGTTGAGTGTTGTTTTATTTTGAATGCCACTGGGAGCGCTGTAAACTTCTTGGTGTTTAACGTCACTAAAGGTGTTCGTGAGGACTTGCTTGCTGTGTGACGGAGCTGACCAGGATGAGGAAATCTGGGGGTGCTATCCAGCAGTGTGATGAACACACCAGGCATGCAATTTGGTCCAAGACTGAGCAACTTATCATGTGTCCTTGACGTGTCATGCAACATCTACAAGGCTCAGTATTGAAATGATACATCATAGCAGAGGGGTTACAAGTCTATATTCTGGAGTTAGTCTCCTGGCTGTGTTGACTTATAAAAGTTACTTAAAGCTGGCCGCAGTGGCTCACGCCTGCAATCCCAGCAATTTGAAAGGTTGAGGTAGGCGGATCATTTGAGGCCAGCTGTTTGAGACCAACCTGGCCAACATGGCAAAACCCAATCTCTACTAAAAAATACAAAAAGTATCCAGGTGTGGTGGGACATGCTTGTAATCCCAGCTATTAAGGAAGCTGAGGCAGGAGAGTTGCTTAAATTCTGAAGGCAGAAGTTGTAGTGAGCAGAGATCACACCACTGCACTCCAGCCTGGACAAAAGTGTGAGACTCTATCTCAAAACAAACAAAAAAAAAAGTTAGTTAACCTCTCTGAACCTCAGTTTCTTCTGCTATAAAATGGGAATAATAATATTTCATAGGGTTGATGTCAGGATTAAATGAGTGTAATCACATAAGGCACTTCAAACAATACCTGATACTTGACTTCAATATAGATATCTGGTGGTATTATTGTACCAGAACAGAAGTTCCCAACCTGGAGGTTCCAGGCATTTCCTCACTATAGCTCTTTTCAATATTTCATAAGCCTTCTTAGGAATCCCTGTTTGCAAAGGACTGCCCAGGGAGTACTGTGATGACTCAGAAAAATGGCCTTGACCAACATAAGGAGAAATTGAAAAAGATGATTTAATTGCTATAGAACATTTACATTTCAGTAGCTGTGTTTATATTTGTGTTGTATTTTGTTTATGTGTACTTACATGTATATGTGTAGATTTGTAATTTTATGTATTTTCTGCATATTTTATGTGTGTTTATATGTATTTTGTGTGAGTACTTGAATGTGTATGTGTACATACATTGATTCTTGCATTAGTTTGCATGTAGACATGTAGAACATGTGTTTCTGTGTTGTTTAGTATCTGTGTACATGTGCCTCTGTTCTCAGATCTCCAAATGCCATAGCCTGAGCTCCAGTCAGCTCAGTCCCTTTGTTCCTCTCAGGTCTCTACATCCTGTGACTCTGGAACATGACAGTTGTTTGGTGATTCTTCTATTCAGCTGGGAGATCTGGGCCAAGGCTAAGGGAAGTGCAGGGAGCATCATGGCCAAGAAGCAGAGGCCACTAGGGGAAAAGAGGCCAGGAGATAAAAGATGAGGGGAGTCTTAGTCAGAGAGCCAACTTGGCCCATAATTGCTGCCTGATATCTCCTGGGACCCACCAAGACTAGAACAGACTGTAGCCTCAGCCTTTGTAATGCCTCCCACATGGGTACAGCCTGGCCTGGCCAGTTCTGAAGACTGGACA